TAAACAAAAGGATATTAAAATGCTTAATGGATATTAATCAGTCACTTAAATTGAAATGTTAGTGTAAAAGTAGGGTATCAATTTCATATTCAGCAATGCATTCCTTATAGGAATGTTCAACGTATGTAATATACGTTAACATCATCATTCAAAAATAATCTTGTTGCTGGAGCAATGGCTCAGAGGTTAAAAGCACTGGCTCCTCTTCCAGAGGAGTAACATAATGGTGGCTCACAACCATCTATAATTTGTTCCTTTGCCTTCTTCTATTATGCATTGCAGGCACATATGCAGGGTTAATACTATATACAAAATTCATAAATAATCCTCAAAAATAATGTGAAGCATAGACATATTAAGTTCTATAATAAGGTCACAGATGATAGCAGCAGAGGTATTCAGATACAATATTGCCATGAATAAATGGATATTATATAGAACAAATATAATTTTATTTAAGCATGATGTTACATTCATGTAATACTTAATAAATAAAATAATAGTATTATAAGAATGTGAATGTTCAAAATAATATAAAATGTTGTTCTTATGAGGAAAATTGTACTTTAAAGCTGGAAAATTTCTGTATAGACATAATAATATGAATTTTAGAGTCGAAATGCCACAGTAGGATTTGACTGGCATATACTACAGGAGTAAATTATATATTTTCCTATAATTCTCCAAATTCACAGATTCAACAAGCTAAACAAATTGTATCAACCATCAAATTTTACTTTAGAAATCTGAGTAGGTTTTCACTTGGCTTTTCTACTTGGCATTGCACAATAATTTTACACACATGTAGACAGTTAAAAAAGATTGCATCAATTCTTCCATATAATTTAAAAAAAAAATTGTGACAATATAGTATCTAAAGTGTCTGGCCATCACATCAAAACTGACCAAAAGAGATTATATCAATTCATAATATATCAGATTCTTGTAGATTGCAAAGAAGTCTCATGAAATATCTTTATGATAATTCTGTTGTTGAGCCTATTTGTTAAAATAAAAAGGTACTGTATCATTGAATTGCAAAAGCTCCCACAGCCCAATGAAGACATATTAATCTCAAATAACACAATAACAGGGTCTGAGTCAGCTATCCAAATAGAGTAGTAACATATGAAAAAAGGTATCAACAGACATTTGGAGCTCAAAGATTATTTCACCATTTGGTGCCTCAAAGGTGGAAACTATGAAAAAGCTAGTTGGATATCTTTCAAGTGTAATTCTTGAGTATTAATTGGAATGTCTAAGTGAGGACACATCATTATACTCTCAAATACCTAAAAGACCTAAGCTTCATTTTTAATGATTTCATGAGAGAGCTTTCTTCCAAGTTCAGAGATTGATTTCACTGTAGGAAGCTTTCTACAAGACTACATTTAGTAGAGCTAATCAGCCTTTCTTGATCTAGAAGTCCAACAACCAAGGACCCTGGTCTTGCTTGATAGCAAAGGATTGTTGTCCCAGTTTGGAGCAAACTGGTACTCTCTATACCTTTATTTGCTACATGGATTTGATGTCATACACTCACTTGGTATAGGCCATCTGCTTTGATAAGGAGGGAACTAATAAACTTCTATAGTGTAAAAATAAATTCCCCTAAATAAAGCTTTTGGTGAGAACAATAAACATTTCTTAAAATAATGTGTTATTCTTTCAAGAGGGTGTCATATACAGAGAATGATAATTTAGTGTCCACTTTGGTGAAGATGGTTGCAATGTGTTTGTTTCTATATTTCACTTCTGACTTGAGATATCACAGCTGTAATATTTCTATGTGAGTTGTGTATCCCAGTTGGAAGAATGGTTTTAAAGTTGAATCTGTTCTTGTTTTTTTATCTTTGTCTTTCACGGGGAACAAGTGGAGGTGGTTTTCTATAGAAGGCTTTGTCCCAGGTGAGAGTGAGAAATCCTGCTCATGCTTGTTCTTATTGTGTTTATAGTGCTGGTGCTGGGTTTATTAAAGAGATATATTAGTCCAAGAAAGATTGAAACAAAAAGAGACATAGCAGATGGCTTAGGATAGAGTTTCTCAATGATAATACCTTCTCTTCTGTAGCATAGGAACAGATGGAGACATTTTTGGCCAAGGGTTGGTGAACTGTTTTTAGCATTCACTTTGCAGTGATACAAAAATCTGCCGATCACATCTAGGATGAAAAGGAAATTATATCTGTCTCTTCCAACCCTAACACACAATGACTGTGAGTTTACTATCTTGTGACTAGTATCAAAAAACTTCTCTGTCTTTAGTTTTTCTCAATTTGTCATAACTTAAGCATTCCAAGTTTTATGCTTTCTTTAGTTGGTGGTGAGGCAGGTTAAAGTGTCATGCAGTAGTCAAATTTATTAAGAGCATCAGTTAGTCTGAGGGTTAAGGAAAGTCATCTGAGTAAAGTATATGATCACAAAGTAGAGCCTCACATAACAAAACCATGTTTATGAATGAAAACAGTTGAAGTAAATTCACTAATATCCACCACTCGTGGAAGAAACATAAAAACATATTGTAAGAACAATTCCAGGTTTTCAAGATACTGAGGTCACAAGACTCAGGTCTTATTTTCTTGGAGTTTTCTCACAAGCAGTCAAAAATTTCCTCATACAACTTAATTCTTGAACTATCTTCCAACACCAAGGAAGATATCAGCTTTGTAATACAGAATGCATCAATCATGTCATTCTCTGTATTATTTGAATTATGGCTAACTATGGATCAGCAAGCATGCCCTTTCTGTGATACTTGGTTCATTTATACCTTGCTATATATTTCAGCTCTTTGCTCATTAAGCAAATTGGGCACTGTTAATTAGAAATGCAGTCAGTGGATACAGATGAGATTACTTGAAAAAGAGATTTTTAATATTCTAATGTCCTTTATTTAAACTGTTTTTTAAAAGTTCTTCATTTTTCCCAAAAAGTAATCAAAGTATATCAATATTAAGTGATTCCTTGGTTAAAGTGAATAAGATCCATATAGTTATGTCCACAGAGTATATTTCCTATACATATGATTTTTATGTTCTTTCCAGAAGTTTATAGAAAAAAGGCCATTTCGTTGGATCATTTTAAGAAGAAAACTGTTTCCTTTATGAAGAAATATTTTTGCAAAGATAATTTTATCCTATTATATAAAATTTAAAGAGAACTTCAAATTGTTTTATATTTTGCCCATCTCCTTTACCACAATATTACTTGAGACTTAGATGGAATGAAATAAATGTTATTAAACAAATAAATCATATTACTAATCCAACATTCACCACATTACATAAAAACACACAAAATTCACTCCTAAAATTAACTGCATCGAAAAAAGACATAAAAGTGAAATGACAGAATTTTGAAGAAAGTAACAAGAAATACAAATTCTAAAATAAATTCTTAATATAGATTATAGGTTTGTCAATGAGCCACTCAAAATTAAACTTGAACATTTTATAAATTGTGTAATGAATATGGCTTTCATACCATCAAGTCCAAAGAATATTACAGTAATGAGTTACCAAAGTTACAATAAAATATAAAAATACCTAATTTAGCTCTCATCGAAACATTTGTAATTAACTTATTTCCACTTTAATTAGATGTTGAACATTTTGTAGCATATTCAAAATCATTTTACAATTATTAAATCATTGGATTAGTTTTGAAAATACTGTCATAGTGAGGAACCATTTCTCAATTGCAAACTTCTTCAAAACTGTCCAAATTTTTATTCATTTGTTGCAGGGACAATTAAGCATTCTGTTTGTCCACTAAGAGTTTTTTAACAAAGAAACATGAAGTGTTCGAGGATGTTAGTGATATGATGAGTAACTGGGTGTATGTTTTGCTTCCTGATGTAAGCTCATGAAATTCCTCTCCTGTGATTTTACATTGGAGCCGAAATGTCTATCTCATTTAATTTTAAAAATAATTGGCTCTGAGAAAATTATGGGAGTGATTTATAAAGAAATCATGCTACATCAGAATCAGCAGACAGTTCTTCTGTGTAGGAAGATAATCATCACATCTTAAAATATGGATTAGAATTTTTCATCATATCAAGTATTCAGCTATAAACTATTATCATAAGAAGGATTTTAAGACATATGTTTAACATTTTATAACGTGTCATGTTTGTAGAAAAATAAATTCAGGCCCAAACAAAACTACATTAAAGCATGTAATAACTTGCTTTATAATATTTTAATAGTTTTCCTTCAATTATGTTAGTATTATGCTAACTACCATGAGAAAATCTGGGTAGTAAAGTTATATGAGCAACTCACATTTATTAAAATTTGTGACTTACAGAAACTCTACTTAAAAAAAGCTCATAAATTATGATTTAAAAGGATGCATATGCATGTAAGTTATTGTGAGTATATTCACAATATATGTACCTATATAAAATTTAGGCACACGTATCATATTATGGATGCAAGATATAAGCTATATTGATTTTGTATATAAGTATGCATAGTTGGTCTGTATATGTGTCATGTTTGTCAATTAATAAATGCAAAGCCTTCAATAATTTCTTAATGAGGTATGATATGCCACTTGGGTGTGCAAGTCAGTGAACCAAGCATAGAATGAAATAAGAGACATATGTCATGCATTCTCAAATAACTAAAACAGAACAGAAACGTGTCCAAAGCACAACTCAGGAGATGGACTGTCAGTTTCTACATTGTTCTTCTGTCCTTTTGTAATTTAAAGTTCTGTAATCTAGAATAAGTGATCTGACAATTTCTGTGCTGTTGTGCTATTCCACGTCTTCTAACCTGAATGATTCCCTGAGTACTGTTGTACTGTTTTGTCAATGTAATACTTAGTTATACAGATTGTGTAGGATGTCCCATAGCACTATAGATATGAATGAAAACACTTGGAACTTATATGTACAAATAATATGCCTAAGCATCTTTGACTTTCTATTGGTATAATTAAATATAAATGTACTTGATAATATTTTGTTTCTTTTTCTCTTATTTACACAGTGCAAACTAGAATATCAAGCATGTGTCTTAGAAAAACAGATTTCTATCAGATGTGAAGGACGTTGTCCGTGTTCCTCTGATAAATCCACAAACATGGGCAGAAATGTTAAGAGAGGTAAGTGCTACAAAATCATTTCTAGCTCATATTCAATCCATATGCTCATATATTTCATAATAAACAAAGTTTGCTTTTATACATGTGACTAGCTGTAAGAATAGCATCTCCCTTGTCAGTTTATTCTCACTTGAGCTTCACTTATATAGAAAAAACTTTCCCATGTCTTTCATAGTCATGAAAAAAAATGAAACGTACAGACTCTTTATTTTTTATTTGATAACCAAATATAAAATCTCTAAAGCAATTTTTCTAAAAATTATCAAATTTAAAATTTGTGAATTTTTACTGAGGTTGTTAGATCTAAGAATTGAAATTTATTTGACCACATAAACACCTGCTTAAATATTGTCTTTATAAATAAGATGCCTGTTCCCTAACTTGAATTAATAATAATAATAGTAATAATAATAATAATAATAAAATAAAATAAATGAGATGCCTACTTATTGTGTAGTATCTGTGTATGTGAATAAAACATTGTAGTAGTTTGAAATGTATTATCATATCTACTTTGTGTTTTCTTAGATTAATTACTAAAATTTTCATGTTTTGTGTGTGAGAGAGAGAAAAAGAGAGACAGACAGAGAGAAAGAAAGAGTGAGCATATGTGTGAAATTGCCTTTATACTTTTGAAAAGGTCTACAGACTACCAAAATCAGCATTGGAATTTATAGCTGTTTGACTATCATGATTTGAGAATTATCTTTCTATGGCAGAGAAGTATTCATTACTGGTCTTTTCCTGAAACATTTTGAGAAACAGCTTCACAGTAAGGAAAATGTGATTTTATTTCAAATTCCCTTAATTCAAACTATACTATTTTGAACATGGTATTCTGGATTTCTGTATTATAACAAAATTCCAAGGCTAATTGACTTATAATTAGTGAATGTTAATTTGGGCTCATGGCTCATTTTTAGTCCATGATTTTGTTATGATATCACAATACAGAACTGTGGAAATATCAGGAAGAGCATCCATCTCATAGTAGTCAGGAAACAGAGAGAGGGAGAGAGAGGGGGAGTGAAGGGAGAGGGAGAGAGAGTTTTCCAAATGCTTTTCAAGTGCGAATCTCCAAAGGCCTAACTTCCATCATAGACTTCAAATGTTTAGTGTGAAGCTGCCTTGCAGTGTCACAGACTTGGTAGTCTGAGTATTCAATCCATGAACCTAAGTGACATTGAAATATATATCCCATAGCATAGCTGTTGATCAAGGTTTTAATCTCATGACAAATATGTTATCTTAGACCTATTGTCTGAAACTCAGTGTTGTCATTTATGAACATGTCAGTCAGTAGAGTCATAATTTAGTTAAATATTTTAAATAAAATCATATGAAGACATTGACTTTTTGTTAAATCACCTAACCAGTACTATTGTTCAAAAGAAAATTAATTGATTTTTAATAGGCCAGTGATCACCCAGTGTTCAGATATATGCATGGTGATTTCAACTTCTGCAAGTGGCGGGGATGCCTTCCTGTAGTAGCCCTATGCTTTACATATTGCTTTTGATGTCTAACAGTAGAATAGATCCACTTCCATGATTGGTTACTTATATATCATTTTTCTCTGTCTTCTAGTCCATGTTCTTCAATATCCACTAAAATAACCTATGGCACAGTGAATTTTTCAATTATCTCCAGAGCATCTAAAGCTACTTAGAGTTTTCTTTCAACTGAGATTTTGATATCTGTGCCTTCCTCACTTTGCTCCCAAGTGAATACATTTCCACAATTAAAGTGAAGACTTTAAACTCTGATAATCACTGCAAGCATGATATAAGACTACCATATATATGTATGATGTGTGTCTCTTATTTTACATGTAGACCATTAAGATCTTTTGAAATGTCCTCTTGATAAGTGTTTCACCTAAATTACCACTGCCCTTTCACAAGATTACTGATCAACAATATTTCCCAATTTCAAGCTTATTTTTGAATGAGATATGTTTCATATGGTATCACGTTATCATATCGTCTCATAAACTGTGATAGAATGCCAGTATGAATTACGTTAGGAAAGAAACACATCTGTAAATTAGACCTCCCACTGAATAAACAATTGCCTTTAGCACTTAACTTTTCATTACTATATTTATATTAATATGTCAAGAAGCAAACTTTTCTTAAAGTCATACTGTCTGGGTATAAAGATAATTTGAGTTCAATTGTGCATCAAAAGAGAGGTAAGAGGATTTTAAACTAATTCTGCTCTGACAGATTGTCAGGGCAAAGTAAGAACAGGATTTTACCAGCTACTGTGAAAAACCAGTACAGGAAATTTTGAATGTCATTTCTCCACAATGCCAAAGGCCAAGAAACATGGGAAATGTAAAACTCAGTTCAGCATCATTTCTAATCTTCCACCTGTCATTTATAGTAGAAGCATTTCTTAGGGTGACTGTACAGTGTGGGAAATTCTTTTTAATGTCATCTTTGTTATAGAAGTGGTGAGAAGAAAACTACACTCTATGAAATAGTTCTACAATCTTTCTAATCGTCCCTCTGAGGTCAAGTTGATATCATACTAGGTTTTCAGTTTATTAATTGTAGAGGGAACCTTTTACATTCGCTTGAACTTTATCAATACTAATAAAATAGTTTCTTTTTACAAAGTAGAGTAATGTATATTTCATCATTATTCTCCAAATATAGCCCATAAGTGGTAGACATAAATAGGTCAAGCATTCAAGTTTGAAAATCTTAAATGAAGAATTAAGACTAATTTACACTTTTAGAATCCTGGATTCTGACTTGAGACAAATGTATAAACTAATCATTCAATAAATAACTTGAGCATGTTTTGACACTTGTATCAGATTTCCCTTCATTTAAAAATATCCCTAGCATTACCTAAAAGAAATACTATTCAGGTATAAGATGTATTTTTTTGAAAGGTGTCCTCAAGTTATTAAAATAATGATGTACTTTCAGCTGATTATAAAGGATCATTGAATGTTTGTATAACTAGAAAAATAGGTGACATATTGTGAACACAACTTCTAAATAGATCATTTCCAATTTTAGTAATATATATAATATATATGCATATATATGTATATATATATATATATAACAATTATTTACTTTATAAGAGACTTATAGAAGCAAAGGCCAAGAAAATATAGAAAGAGCGTAGGAAAATACCACATTTCTTGTCACTTGAAGATGTTACCCTAGGCATATATTTAATTGCTATAGTTCGTAAGCATAGCAAACCTTACACATATAAATTCAAAAGTGCTCTGTTTTGTTATTCATTTGATTCTTCAGCTTCAGGATATTATTTATTTGGCCTTTTCTGTTCTAACTTGAGCATAAATTGTGCATCATGTTTACTGTATTTGTGGGATCTCAGAAGCTTGAGTTTCCTCTTGTGTCTTTGCTTCATTCCCCTACTCTTGGATTAATGGCTTCTGTGTTTGTTCTTCTACTGTTGCTTCAGCTACCATTGTCCATCATATTGCAGCAACCATACTAGGGTACAATTAAAAATGGTAGAATTAAATAATGTCTCATTTTGTTATGAAATCTTCACGAGTCAATGGGCCTGTGGTTTTATATTGATATTTTGTCTCTTGAAGATGCAGAGACATTTGGGCAGTTTCTTTTTGGGCGGCTTTCTTTCTGTTTTCTTTCTGTTCTTTCACTGAAGCTCCATCCTTTGTAATTTACAGCCTTCACTTATTTGTTGGTTGGCTAGTCAATAAAATAAAGTATTAGTGATGATTTTCAAGTTCCTCAGAAGTCATATACAAACATACATGAAGAATGACTTTGGAATTGAGACCAGAAGTCATGCAAAATGTATTTACAATAGGTATTACCTAACATATATGAAAGTATTATTAGCCATTACCCCACCCCCCGAGCTTTGGTGGCCCAAACCTTTAATCCCAGCACTCGGGAGGCAGAGGCAGGCAGATCTCTGTGAGTTCAAGGCCAGCCTGGTCTCCAGAGCAAGTGCCAGGATAGGCTCCAAAGCAACACAGAGAAACCCTGTCTTGACAAAACCAAAAAAAAGTAAGGATTAAAGAAAGAGAGGTGATGCAACATTAAAAAGTGTGTTCTTCTCTTCCATAGGACTAGACTTCAGGTCACAGAACCCATGTCTGATAGTTCACAATAGACTGTAGCTCCAGCTTCCTTTTCTCACTTTCATGGAGTGAGAGACATGTGGAACACAGTTAAAATCACACACACACACACACACACACACACACACACACACGAGAGAGAGAGAGAGAGAGAGAGAGAGAGAGAGAGAGAGAGAGAGAGAGAGAGAGAGAGAGAATAAAAACATGTTTTATAAAAGAGATTAAAAGGGAAAAGAAACATGTGGGCCTTTCTTAGAAATATATTATTTTAAATATTTAGTGTTTTTCTGACTTAGGATGTCTGACAGCACAAATGTGTAAACAAGTTATACTGGGGGTTTGGTTCTAAAATAGAAAAGGAAAAGTCAAGCATTTAAATTTTATGGTTTGCTCTAATAGTCTCATAGTTACTACTTGCAGACTTGAGTATCCAATTTGAGATGAGTTTAACACTGATTGCTCTAACTTAACACAATGAAATATCAGCAATTTACATTTTGTAAAATGAACAACACTGTCCCATCACAATTCTTTCCGATTTGGCAAAATGGTACCTTAGAAACTCCCACCCTAATACTCAACCAAACACTCATCAGTTCAGCCCAAGAGAACTGTGTCTATTAGCAGAGTAGCAAAATTATGACTTTCTGAATGATTAATGAGAGACACACACAGTTTCTCCTCTAACAAACTTTTTATTTAATTTAAATTGAGTTTTCATAGAACACAGTTCTCTAAAATATTATTTAAGAATATTGTTCTACTTATTCAAAACATAAATTTGATTAAAAATGTACATGAATAGACTAAAATCATTTTAGGGCAACATAGCATAGGAAGTGAGATAATGGTGTTACTACATACCACTTGGGTCAGAGGCAATTTTATTTGTGTT